TATTGCGTGGTTGGTGTTCCGAATTCCGTGCTTACTACTACTGCTAATATAATCATTACAGAAACACGCGAGCAATTGATAGCAGCAAATGCTTGTATGTATTGATGGAGTTAGAGCATGTTATATAGAAGGTAATAGTCCATATGATTGGTTGAACGACCGTCCTCCAATCACGTAACCTTTTGCACCGACGGATCATGTGTGCTAACTCGAATGTCATGTTTACCCGATGTACCATTGGCCGAGCTTCCTGAACGGTGATTGGATGACATAAATCTGTGCCTGGTCGTGCATGGATTGCGGTCATTGAATTCTGGATCACCACAAAGAAAGATTGTACATATCTCGCTAAAGCTTCAGTACGATTCATTATAGTGTGGGCTGACTCCCGTGAGAGTTTTTCCTTGGAATCCATTGGAATCCCCCGAATAAAATTCTACGGCAGGATTACTGTTCAAATTGTGTTGTTTGGTAGATTTAAGTATGTTTACATTGTGAAAAGTACAGTGGCGCCGATGGGATTCAAATCTCCGGATAGACGCCGCATTTTTCGTTTTAAATTTTCCAGTTTGTTAGACTCGCTGTGCGCTTCGAACGATTGAGAGATCTATGTAACAGTTTAAAGCGAGATTTAACAAACTCTACCGTTTTGGTTAGTGGATTAAGTGATGGATAGTGCGACTGTTCACTGTGCTTTTCCAGACCTATTTATTGTTGGGAGGATTTGTTTTGTCTTGCAATTTGCTCTCGCAGTGAATGTATTCACTCGGGCGAAGTTTCGATATATTCAGCACTCACTGTAAGATGTCTGTGGGTGCAATTGTGTGCGCAGCCCATACGTCATTCAACCGATTTGTCTGCGCGGTCATGTTTAATGAACAAATGTGCTAGTGCACACACACACAAACACGCACGCAGATGGTGTCTAATCGGACGGGGGCAGAGTGCACCACGGAACCGACCAATCCGATTTCGGCGTTTATCGATCGCGTACCCCCGGGCAAATATCCCCGTTTCCGATTTGCGTGCCACGGGGCACAAGGCAGCTGGTATCACCATCGAATTGACGGGTGAAATTTCAGTTCGTGTGACAACTTTCGTGCAGCTGACCGAAATAACGTTCGAATGGCGGAGTACTATGATGATTATTCGTCAGATGAGGAAATAATTGAATTTCGTCGACGAAACGAGGAGGCGAAGAAAGCGCGTGAAAGAGCACGAAAACAACTGCTTGAGGAAAGTAAGTTCATCAGTGACGTTTGTGAGTAATGCACTTCAGTGAAGTGATGTGGTACGGTCACGAAAACACTTTTATACGAAAATCCTTTGACAGTTAACTGGGAAGACCAATTGCTATTAATGGCATACACTTTAATTGGGATCAATTTAGTGAACGTACCAGGCATGAACCTGCCTACAATTTCTGAGCGTTTCTCAAGAAATGATGAGGAATCCACCTATTCTGAAGCGTTTTCTCTAAAACCAACATTGCTTGCTCATTTCTGTAATACTTCGACCTGAGTTGTTAGGTAGCATTCATAATTTCGTGTTTTGTTTAATGTTTGTTTTGTCAATTAATGGACTGGGTCGGTCCTCAGACAAACTCTCGGAATGAACGGGAAGTGTCAAACAGTTTTTCTCGAGTTCTATCAGTATCATCGCCAAACAACTCTCTTCATCAAAACACTAGATCTAGAATTAGTGGGAGTAATTGTCTTTGATGGGAACAACTTTCTGGTCCCGATCACTTTCAACAGATTGATCTTCTTTGAATGAGATGGTGATGTATGTTTAACGTTCTCTGAGGAAATATTCCGTGCAATGACCTTTTATTTGTTGCAAATGACCAGTAAATAGAGCTGGAATAACTGGGCATGATGTTTGGTTTGCGGAGGAGAGTCAGATTATCTGAGTAACATGGCAGAATGCTGAACGAGGAGTTCCATCTGTATGATAGTGAAATTTGCCTGTTAATTAAAAACTGCTCTGATAAGTTCTTCGTTGGACACTCACCCATGATGTACTCTTATCCCAATCAATATTGTTCAAATGATCTATTTGCTTTTCTAAACCATCTGTGCGGTTAGTTTTTTTATTGGGTTTCATTTAAGTGTTCTTGGTTGAATACCGACCAAACGGGGAACATTGCTCGCACGATCACTTGTTCATTTAGGATCTGTATCAATTGGGTGTTACTGCCAGAATAACGGTATACTTCTCATGCCTTGGAAGTTCTTATGTGCCCCCCTTTGTCATGAGAAATATTTACGCAGACACAAAAGAGTATTGATTGGTTGTTTCGTTCTTGCTTGAGCTCATCAACACTGTCTGCATTCCACACATGTGGATGCAATCCAGAAATTTATACATCCCAGCTAGTTGGACAGATTTTTTTTGATGCTGTTGGAAAAAACGGTAAATCTCATCCTTCCACTAAAGAGCAATCGTCTTTGCAAGCCTTACAAAACCCGGTTGAGTGTATGTTACCTTCGACCTGATTTATCCCAACTATCAAACAGTTTTCTAGATGTGACCGCTATTGCGCTTCTCAGATTTCTTTCTCAACTGTAACAGTTGGACAAATGCTTAAGACTGGAGAGGTGAAATGTACCCAAAGTGTACAGTAGTCTCCTACCCCCATCGAGTAATTCTTACACTCATTATTCCTAAGTGAGTTGCGAAACGCCGGGATTAAAGTGCGCTTTCGGTGCGGACTGAGAATAGCAACTTCATGCATTGTTAGACACAAAATAGTTATCACGCTCAAATTGTCAATTAAAATAAAAAGTTTGAACCATACTAAGAACGGTAAATTTGGAATAACCCATTCGTATGTTTAGAGGCCCCGAGCACTTTTGATGGTCTTTCAACCATACTACTTTCGTAAATAGCTTCATAGAACAATTTCAGCCACGTAAAATGGACTCAGCTCTGAAGACCCCCATCAATCTGTTTTCTATTTTTATCTGTCTTGAAATGATATATCTGTTTTTACCGAAATTTCCTTGAAAAAAAAACAAATCACAGAGATTTCTCTTAGCTTCTTATTTCCAATATACTGCGTTGACTTCAAGTCACGAACAATAATTGATTTTGTGGATTTATTCTTGGTATAAGCAAGTTTACGTGTTACCTGGGAGCTGGAGATCAACACCGAGCAGGAGAGCGTCTGATATGGCCGTTTGGCTACTGTTGTCAGATCTCGTGCTTAAGACGTTCCAGCTGTTCAAAACATACCAGGCAATGTAGTTACTTTGTTGGATTACTGCACAATGTGGTGTGGTTAGGGAAAGTTAACCAGAACAAAGCGTTTCTTCAATTCTGATTTCGATTGTAGTGTTTTAAGAGAAATAGAAATATGTGCATACTCCTTGAAATCTACACAGCTTCTGTTCTGAATTCACGTTGCGTGTATACAAGAGGGCTCTTTCAACCCCAAATCAAACAAGAGCACCATTTATATGACAAAGCTGTTTAGACCAATTGTTTTTCTGTCCCGTGGGGTACATTCTTCAAGCAGGTATTATGTGTCAATCGCCACTTAGCGGCCTTTGACTAACGTGTACGGGGCATTCTTCACAATGCGTCCCTTTTTGTGAGTGAAAACTATTCACTCCTTCCTGCCTCAGTCCGAAAATAGCGGTGGTATGGGACTAGGCAGTAATGAAAAATAGCTGCACAACGAAAAATTAACCGTACGAATATGCCTGACTTGGAGTAATGAACCTTGACAGAACCGTAATAATCACTGAGACCAGTCGAAGACACCCTTCGAGTCGCTGACTTCAAGGCCAGTCGTTTTCTTACACTTTATTCGACTCTGGGCAGTTTTAAAATTGGGAAAAGGGATCGTATCCATTGGTAATCAACTCCCCGTTGAATCGACGGTAATTGTGCAGTATCTTTCCGGTCGGATTGATTGTAACTAGGCTGTTTGGTAAACACGCACAGGAGGCATAAAAACCGCTACTCAGTACAAATTAACAGTTCTTAACTACTTTTTGTGAGCATTCGGCTGCGCCAATTGGCCCCCTTCCATTCAGTGGCATTTTGCGTCCAAAATTTTGCTGTTGCCTCAACCTTTCCATTGAGCAATTGTGATTGGTATTTTATCATCATGGAATTTGGGTTTGGTTTGGTATGTGCGACACATGTAACTGTGAATTGGCTAATGATCGAGTGGATAATCAACTTGTATGATCGCCGATCATCTCCTACAGAGATGATTGTTTCTTTTCTGATTGAATACGAATTGGGTCAAAAATATAATAAAGTAATGCCATCTTCCCCCATCATCAGCTCCACGGTTTATGCTCAGAGGGTATTCTGTTCTCTCTGAGTGTTTTGGAACAACGTGTCAAACAGGCGGTCTGAACCTCTGTTTGCGCAACGCTTGATCCAACTGTGTGTGTGCTCTCAGCGATCCAAAGTGTTTTTCGTGTGTCTCATTTTCTTATTCTTTTTTCTAATAACCAATGATAGAAATGGCTGTCACTCGCGTGCGAAGTCAAATGTCACGAAGGTTGTGACAAGTAGAGATCGACCCCCCCCCTCCACACACACACACACACATACGAATATTGGTTCATATTTCATTGTATTGGTTTCAATGGGACATAGAGAGTGTGGCGAAAATCATGTGGAAGGTTATGGTTGCTTCGTTCCCGAACAGATCGTCCCAAAAACCTCGAAGTACCTGCTTCCACAAAAGCACACCGGGAGATAATACCAAATCCAACAAATCCTTTAGGTTATGCTAAACATGAAAACATCCGAGAGGTGTTATCACAACCGTTCTGAGGGGGGAAATTATTCTCATCAAGCATATTTGAATGCCGAAGCGCATTAGTTTATCTTCGTATTTTGTAATTATTTAGACAGTGAAAAGTAAAAGGAACCAGGTTTTAAACAATTTGACACGCTCTCAATAAACGCGAACCCTTGACCTGGTTAGTTAAGACGAGGTGTGTTTGAGCACTATTTGTACGATGAGTAGTATGATGACCAGGAGCATTTGGGCTTGTCATCGAACGTCCCATTGGTAGCCACCTCAAATCCGAAGTCCTACCCGAATGAGGACAATTCGATTTGAGGAAATCTTGGGAACAAGTGAAATAACTGGTACCACGCGATCTTCTCTTCTGAGGATGAGTCTTCAGCCATTGCATAGCTAAGCGCTAATCGTAAATAAACAGGTAGAAGGTAATAGCTTCATTTTGTGAGCAGTCAAGCTTTCATACGTCTCCATGCGTTTTACGGATAATTGTGAATTTTTGTTGCAAGCTTTTCACTACCACATTATTGAGAATTATCTCTGATAAGTGACAGCGCATTTTTGGGTGAAATAATGGGCATCTATTGATGAAAAAGTGATCAAAAGAATTTTCTTTCATTTGCTCCCAGTGGTGAGCCTGCCGACCTCGTTCACATTCGGTATTAGATGTGTACCATTTTATATTCAATAAATGGAGGTAAAAAGTAAAGAAAAAGAAAAAAGAAAGAAATTAGATACGTTACAAACTGTTAATTTGGACAAATTCTGAATTCTGAATGAAGAGGAAGTTTTGAATGCACATCTAAGGAATCCTTTGGTACGGATAGCCTCTGAGACAGAATTAGGGGAAGGATACCTGAAATCACCGAACTGATTGGTAGTTTGAATCTACGCCCACATATCGTCTTTCTGCGGAGACGACTCAATGTGAAGTGCAACTTAAATTGGTACCTGTTCTTCTATTTGCATTCGATATAGAAAGCAAGCAAACATCACTTTTATCGTGAATGATGAATATCACACGGGGAGGGTGACCAGTTTGCAGTTCATTGCAAGGCACATCGGTTTGACAAATCATCAGTCAGACAGTCCAATGAATACTGAATGTCATTATAGAGGCTGCTCGCCAAAACGGCAAAAAAATTGACAAATTGTAAGTAACTGACTCACACTGAATGAAGAACACCGGAAACACTGTCTGCTAACGAAATCGAAAAAAATTATCAAAATTCTAGAAAATTCGCATGCGAACAAATGATAGAGAACTGCAACTTCACGGTAAATGAATTGATTGCCTTTACAACTTTTTGGATCAAATCCATGGAGTTGAACTTTAACTTCTATTTTTGGTGATCACTTTGTCGCATGCTAAACTCCAGGATTGATCAAACCGATGTGCTCTATCCAAGATACTTGTTTAAGTTCACGACTCAGTCGATGAAACATTAGCACCCATCGACATAAGT